TTTTTTTTCTTGTTTTAATGAGTCATAATTTGATTTCACAGTAGATTTGAAGGTTTTGGGGAGTCAGAGTGGAGTAGGTCTGTGGCTCTCCTCAGGACGACGCCGCTGGGTTCATATTTACACATTTTGGGTCAATGTGTGTGAGTTTTATCGGTAATTCTGTTGAGTTTTAGGAGAGTTTTATTCATCATGTTGTTTTATTTTGTTTTTGGAGAGTTTTATTCATCATGTTGTGTTTTTGGAGAGTTTTATTTTGTGTTTTTGGAGAGCCACAGACGCTGTTATTCGATGTCCTCTGGTCTGACCGGATGAGGCAGTGGGATGATGGATTTCTTCTCTGTGTCTCTGGACAAAGCTTTCCTCATGTCTGAAAACGGAAAACAGATTCAATTATTCCAACGCAAATAAGTACGTTTTCATTTCTATAGAGCTTTTCACAGACATTTGTCACAAAGACTCTTTACAGAACTTTATTCATTCACTTCAGACCCGGTGATGGAAAGCTGTGTCTTGCCTAAGGACACAACCACAGTTTTTGTGAGGTGCGCCCCCCTGTGGCTCCTGATGTTCCCTGCGGTCTGGTCTGCTGCAGACCCAGACTCAGACCTACTGAGCTTCTGATTTGACAGGATCAGACTTTGACAAATTGGTGTGGCCATATTTGAGTTAAAGGTTTTATAAGATGTAAAATGAACTCTAAGTTGTGTTAGAATGTTGTTCCCTCCTCACAAACAGACCAGGAGTTGTGTTTGTTTCATTCACACATGTTTGAGTAAATCTATTATTAGTCTGTAATTTCAATTTTTTTTTTTTTATTTGAAACATATTTTCCATTTATTACACTATCTGCGCTACAGAACGCTGCGCTACAGAACGCTGCTTGTGCATCGACTGTCACTGTTTGATCTCAAGTTTGTCATGTGACAAAAATTCAGAGGCAAATGTAAATACATCACTTAATTATTTAAATATAAATACTTTATATAAATATATATTTTAATTGAAAAAAAACAAAATACAAGATGCAGAGGTGTTATTTGCCAAAAAAATAAATAAAAATGGGCCATGACACTTTTGAGGATTGCCTCATGGGGTCAGGTCCAGTGGAGGGGGGCAGAGGGTGTGGGAGGCCGGTCAAAGGGACGTGGAGGGCCAGAGTCGGCCCACGGGCCTTAATTTAGTCTTAAAATAAATGACTCTAGACTAGAATTTAACGCTCTCTGAACTAGTAAGTAGATAATAAATCTGGCCAAGAGTTTAAAACTTCTATCAGGTTAATCATCATTAGTTCAGCAGAGTTTGGTGATTCCAGGACTGAAAGGATCCTAGTGATTCTACTGAAGGTGTGTAGAGTTTAAAAACACACTGGAGCACCTCCTGTATCACCACATGATGACATCACAAAGTGGAACAGAGTGTTTTCTGTTTCAGAGAAGAACTCTGAAGAAATCTGCAGGTTTGTGTGTTAAACATGTGAATGAAACAAAACTCTGGGTTTGAGGAAACTACAGAACAAAGATCAGAAAACAGAATATTTAATGGAATTATAGCCCAAAACCATGACAGTAATCAGACTTTCTGTGGCCGTTATCGCCCCCTGTTGGTGAAGTGAGTGTGGAGCAGAGTCTCACCGTAGGCGTCCTCGTCCGGTTCCCCGTTGCTGGCGGAGTAATACTCGATGACCGTCCGGTACACGCTGTAACCCAGACGCTTGTACATGTTCACCGCCACCTGATTGGAAACTCGCACGAACAGGTCGACGAAGAACCCGCCTTTCCTGAAACACAAACACACGAAAGATCAGATCAGAAGTCGAACCCGCAACCTCCAGATCCACACATACGGGAGAACCACAGGAGAACCACGGGAGAACCACGGGAGAACCACGGGAGAACCACGAGAGAACCACGAGAACCACGAGAACCACGAGAGAACCACGGGAGAACCACGGGAGAACCACGGGAGAACCACGGGAGAACCACGGGAGTGTTACGACCCAGCTCGTTTGGGTGAGGGAAGTAACAAAAAAATAAAACCAAGATGTAAAATGGAATAAATTAATTAATGTTTAATTAACAGGAAGATAAACGGTAAATTAACAAAAGACAAAAAATATACAGAAAACAACCTAAACTAAGAAACAGAACAACAGACTAAACAGAGTTTTGTGCCACAAAAGGGGTCACGCAGGCTTACAAAAAAACGAGTGGTAAAATTAAGGGACACACACAAAACCAAAACACAAGTTCCCCAAATTAAACCACATAAACCCACAAACAGAATCAAGTGACCAAACAAAAAAAAAAAGCACAAAACAGAACTAAACTAAACAACACACACAAACACAAAATGGCAGACTGGCCACCAAGGCCAACAGTCCCAAACAGGTGCTGGTAATCTCCTTAAATAGGGGGTGGTGGCTGCAGGTGAGGTGGGCGTCGACCTGCCCCACCAATCACGGACCAGGGCTCCTGCAGCAGGAATCAAGAGAACTCGGCAAAAATCACACAAACAAATTAGAACTAAGGCCTGGGGCCGTAACAGGGAGAAACACAAGAGAACCACAAGAGAACCACAGGTGAAACACGGCAGAACCACGAGAGAAACATGGGAGAACCCCAAGAACAAAACAGGAGAACCACGGGAGAACCACAAGAGAACCACAAGATAAGCCAGAGGAGAACAGGAGAGTTTATGGAGCAGAGTACCTCTCAGAGATTTCCTCTAACATGTCCATGAGCTGAGCGGCGAGTCCCAGTCGTCTGAACTCCGGAGCCACGGACAGAGCCGTCACATGACCGTGCCACTCCTCACGAGCCACGGAGCCCTCGGCCTTCCCCATGACTGAAAAAAACAACACACGACAAATGTGACGGGTGAATTTTAAACCAGAAATCACAGATGTTTGATAAAAGAGTGTGACTGTACTGACTGTAGCCCATGAGCTCTCCTCCAGGAGCCTCGGCCACGATGAAATACTCAGGCCAGTGAGCCAAATACTGCAGGTAAAACGGGATCCCGTACTGACCCAGAGTCAAGGACCGAACCAGGACTAAACCAGGACTAAAACAAGACTAAAACAGGACTAAAACAGGACTAAAACATGACAAAAACAGGAGTTAAAGAGGAGTAAAATGGGGCTAAACCAGGACTAGACCCAGGACTAGACCCAGGACTAGACCCAGGACTAGGCCCAGGAATAAACGGGGACTAAACCAGGACTAGATCAAGGACTAGAGCAGAACTAGACCAGGACTAGATCCAGAACTAGCACAGAAAACCAGAACCAAACCAGGACTAAATGGGTACTAAACGAGACTACACCAGAACTAGCACAGGAAGCCAGGACTGAACCAGGACTAAACCGGGACTAAACCGGGACTAAACCGGGACTAAACCGGGACTAAACCGGGACTAAACCGGGACTAAACAGGGACTAAACAGGGACTAAACAGGGACTAAACAGGGACTAGCACAGTGAAATTAGGTCTAAACCGGGACTAGACCAGGACTATACCGGGACAAGTTTGAACACAGCACAACGTTTGACTAAAAATGTAAAAAAAAAACTAAACAAAAACAGAACCGTAACAGCAGCTGAAATGTAATATTTATAATTGTTTAATTCGTATCAAATTCTTCAAAAATATCTTCTTAAACCCAGAGCCTTTTATTTGACCGGTTACACCCTTATCATCAGAAGGCCCCCTAGTCAGAAAATCATTCCCTCTTCTATTGGTTTGTCAACAACATTTCTCTTGTACAACTGAATGCATATTTGATGAAAACAACAGGGAATAATCCCTGGATATCAGGGAAGAATTAGTAAACTTTTGGATGTTTACCAAATAAAAATGGCTGCAACATCAACATTTTTAGAGATATTGACAGGAAAACACATAATCATGCATAACAGCATTAGCTAAGGCCAGCATGACTTAATTTATTGGTTTACAAACCCACCAATGCTATATTAAAAGAAAAAGATTTAAAATAAAATTGAAATGAAGGTTGTAGAGCTCGAATTACTGAACATTTTGCAAGTTGTTGCCTGAAAATCAGACAATTATTAACCCTGTTCCACTTAAGACGCCATTTCCACCCAAATCATTATTTTTGCTGTATTTTAAGGGTTAAATATATTTATTACTTTTAATACTTACTTTTTAAAATATTTAAAACTTGAAATACAATTTAATTTGTAACAATCTGTAACTCGACCTGAACATGGATTTTCTGACTCTAGGCTCTTCTGATGATAAAGTCTGACCACTATTTGACCACCACCATTATGAAGTAAAATATATGATGAAGAGAACATTTTCAGGACTGGAGAAATTAAAGAGCGTTAAAGGATACAGTTTCAGTCAGAGGATCCAAGTTACTGCAAAAGAAAAACACAAATATTTATTATATGAAGCTCATTTACAGACACATTCACACAAATTATCACTGGGGGCTTGTATAAAACACTAAAAACATTCAAATACAAACTACTGATATGGTATTTAGATGGAAGTATATTTTAATTATCCTCAGACGCGAATAAAAACAAACAAAAACGACAAACGACAAAAACGTGCCATTGTTTTGGTTTTAGCTTTGTGATGCTAATCTTAGCTCCAACACATTTTTGCATCTTTGTGGAAGATTTAAAACAAAATAAACGTTCTGTAAAAACCCAAATGGCTGGAATACATGTGTTAAAATAAAACGGATAAGACTGGACTCACATATTATTAAATTTAAACAGATCATCGCAGGTAAAAGGTCGTAACGTTGTCATCTTGTTAGCCTGTTAGCTTCTGTTAGCTTCCGTAAGCCGGAAGAGACGAGAGCAATGACGCAGCGCCATCTGAAGGAGAGGTGGTGGTACTGCAAGTCTCAGGCGAATTATAGAACTAAACATTTTCAGCGTTTTTTAATTGATATTTTAAACATATTTTTTGATAATTTTTTAAGTTTTATGATCATATATATGTTCATCTTCGGGTCACAACAGCATCAAATTGTGCCTTCTTCATTACTGTTATTAGTTTGTACGACCATAAATGAAAACAAAAAAAAAAAATCCTTAAATTTTTCACACTGACACTTTACAAAATGAAGTTAGGAATGTTTGTGTATTCATTACTTTCCTTTATAAGTTTTTCTTGATTTTATTTTTATCTTTTTATTTTTTTTCATGTATGTTATAAATTTGAACGTCTGCTTTATAGTCGGGGAGCCAAAGTCTCAAAAGCTCAAGAAAATGGGTTGAACCTGACATCGTCTGCCATACTTTTTATTTGTGTTTTTTTTTTTGTTAACTGTGACACTAAGGACCAATAATTGGAGGGTCTGCTCTGCCCGAAATATCGCGAAATAAATTTGTGGCCATTTTAGTGCATATAACCTTCATTTTTTTGATAAAAAAAAATTTTGAAAAATGAAAAATTTCCTGAAGTCTTCAGTGGGCTGGGTAAGCTGTCAATAAATGTATTCCAGATGCAAAGAACACATGTAGTGACAACATTCAGTGAAAAAATAATTATTAAAACACATTTCTACATGATTTTGGCTCAATTTAATGCAAAAAAATAAGGCGTTTTTTCACTTTTTTCCAATATTTTCATCTTTACCTCATTGGCAATCAACTATTCCCCCAACTTATGACATCAGCCAATATGGCATTCTTTTCACCAAACAGTAGACTCACTCCACAGAAAAAAAAAAAAAAAAAAATTATGTGTTTATATTGTATTATATTGTTTATATGTGTTATAATTAAAATTAAATACAGGGGAAAAAAACAACTAACTTAATATTGAAAAATAAAGAAATAAAATAAAATAAATTCATGTTTATGGGAGGTGATCTTATAAAACCCAAAAGCTCTTCATTCTCTCCTGCACTTTTCTCTTTTGTCTCTACTTGTTTGAAAAGTTGTTTTTACTGTATTTTGTTTTTACTAAATGTAAAATCTAAATTTGACATCTGATTGACAGGTGTTTTTATTGCTGTATTGTTACTGTGGATGAGCTCTCCTCTCCACAGATCTGACTTGTAACTTCGCTTGGTGGTGTTACCTGCTGTAGATAAGTGTAATGCCACATTATGGAATATTCCAAGCACAACAATAAGAGAAAATCTTTTCCTCGTGGGATTGTTGTTGGCTCGTCGGAGCTCGGTCCCAGAGAGACGCCGGGTTCCGGAGCATTATCCCACTTGAGCTCGGACAAAAGCAGATCTGGTTCAACTGTTTGGTCTCTTCAGCTCCGAGTCTGGGATGATCCGGATTTTGGGCTGGACCGTTCCGAGGACTTTTCCCCGACCTCAAAAACAGCTCAGGCCTTTGTCTTTCCTTTTGTCTTTTGTCTTTTGTCTTTAGTGAGTCTCAGGTTCCGTCTCCAGAGACGAGACCCACTTCATACAAACCATAACACCGCCGCCCGAAACACGACTGTGACCCACACACAAGCAAGACGTCATCCTGCATTTGACCCGCCCTTCAACTTCACCGCATTAAACCTGCATTTGACCCGCCCTTCAGCTTCACCGAGGTAAACCTGCATTTGACCCATCCTTCAAGCATCACTTGGTTAGAACCTGCATTTGACCCATCCTTCAACTTCTGACCCATCCTTCAGCATCTCTGTTTTAAACCTGCATTTGACCCGTCCTTCAGTGTCTCTGTTTTAAACCTGCATTTGACCCGTCCTTCAGCGTCTCTGGGTTAAACCTGCATTTGACCCATCTTTAAGTGTCTGTGGGTTAAACTTGCATCTGACCCGTCTTTCAGCATCTCTGTTTTAAACCTGCATTTGATCTGTTCTTCAGCGTCTCTGGGTTAAACCTGCATTTGACCCACCCTTCAGTTTCACTGCGTTAAACCTCATTTGACCCGTCCTTGTGTAGGTGTGATGGGTGGAGTCTATCCTCTGGTGGGCGGGGCACATGCTCAGGTGAGGCGCAGGATTGAAATTTCCAAATAAAAATCAAATTGTAACAACAGTAATTCAACCAAATGGGATCGGGTGAAGCGTCTGAGGGGCGTGGTTTAATGTGTGGTGGGTGGAGTCAGTGCTCGTGTGGGCGGGGCTCGGGCGCGTGTGGGCGTGGCCTGTGCTCAGGTAAGTTCACCTGTCTTGTGGGGAGTGTCAGAGTTTCAGACGGAGTCCACATGGATCTGCTCATCTGGAGTTTAGTCACCGTGTCCACGCTGACCCCAACCTCCCACGCTCAACAGTAATACTACTACTACTACTACTACTTCTACTACTACTACTACTACTACTACTACTACTACTACTACTACTACTACTACTTCTACTACTACTACTACTACTACTACTACTACTACTACTACTACTACTACTACTACTACTACTATATACTACTACTACTACTACTACTACTACTCTACTACTACTACTACTACTACTACTACTACTACTACTACTACTACTACTACTACTACTACTACTACTACTACTACTACTACTACTACTACTACTACTACTACTACTACTACTACTACTACTACTACTACTATTATGACTGTTACTACTACTACTGCTACTACTACTATTACTACTATTATTACTACTACTGCTACTGGTACTACTACTACTACTACTACTACTACTACTACTACTACTACTACTACTACTACTGTTACTACTACTACTTACTACTGTTACTACTACTACTACTACTACTGTTACTACTACTGTTACTACTACTACTACTGTTACTACTACTGTTACTACTACTACTACTGTTACTACTACTACTACTACTACTACTACTACTACTACTACTACTACTACTACTACTACTACTACTACTGTTACTACTGTTACTACTACTACTACTACTACTGTTACTACTGTTACTACTACTACTACTACTGTTACTACTACTACTGTTACTACTACTACTACTACTACTGTTACTACTGTTACTACTACTACTGTTACTACTACTACTACTACTGTTACTACTGTTACTACTACTACTACTACTGTTACTACTACTACTACTACTACTACTACTACTACTACTACTACTACTACTACTACTACTACTGACTACTACTACTACTACTGCTACTACTACTACTACTACTACTAATCAAATTGTTTTTACAGGTATGATACCACGACACTAAAGCCAGAAACATCAAGGTAAGATCCATGGTCCTGGTCTAGTCCTGGTCTAGTCCTGGTCTAGTCCTGGTCTAGTCCTGGTCTAGTCTTGGTCTAGTCCTGGTCTAGTCCTGGTCTAGTCCTGGTCTAGTCCTGGTCTAGTCCTGGTCTAGTCTTGTCTAGTCTTGTCTAGTCTGTCTCTGTCTGTCTAGTCCTGGTCTAGTCTGGTCTAGTCCTGGTCTAGTCCTGGTCTAGTCCTGGTCTTTGTCTCTTGTAGTCCCTCGTACTTGGTGGTGAGTCCTTCGGTGTGGAGTCCAGATGTTCCGTTCAGTGTGTTGGTCTCAAACCTCCTGCCTCGTCCGCTGGAGTTCAGAGCCGAGATCGTCCAAGTCCCAGACCCAGACTCAGACCCAGTCCGAGTCCGAGACCAACTTCAGGTCCACTCCTCGGTCTCCTCTGTGATCCAAGGTCAATGTGATCTCAACCTCAAACTTTTGTACCAACGTTTAGAGTCAATTTAACCACAACTAGTCCTGGTTTAGTCCTGGTTTAGACGTGGTTTAGTCCTGGTTTAGACCTGGTTTAGTCCTGGTTTAGACCTGGTTTAGATGTGGTTTAGACCTGGTTTAGTCTGGTTAGTGGTTTAGACCTGGTTTAGATGTGGTTTAGACCTGGTTTAGTCCTGGTTTAGACGTGGTTTAGACCTGGTTTAGATGTGGTTTAGTCCTGGTTTAGATGTGGTTTAGACCTGGTTTAGACCTGGTTGTGGTTTTAAACACGTTTCTGTTTCTGTTTCAGGTGAACATGAAGAGCTGCTCCATTTGCCCAACTTCAACTCTTCAACTGTGAGTCTCTTCAGCTGAGCCAGGACCCTGGTCTAGACCCGGGTCTGAGCCAGGACCCTGGTCTAGACCAGGGTCTTGACCAGGATCCTAGTAAATGTTGAGGGGAATTGACTCTGAAAAGTCCCGTTTGCATAACAGGTCTGATTTAAATAAATATTTTTTCCTCTTTCTCTGCTCAGATCCACGAGGGCTCCAACCTTTGGCTCCAGGTCCACGGCAGAGACCCAGACTTGGACCAAGACCTGGTCTCAGACCGGACTAAACTCAGGGTCAAACCCGGGACCCATACCATCCTGATCCAGACCGACAAGCCCCGATACAAACCTGGAGACCGGGTCAGGATCCGAGTCCTGGCCTTACAGCGGACAGACGGAAGAGGAGTCAACAGCACCCAGGACGTGTACATCAAGGTCTGAACCAGGACTAAACCAGGACTAAACCAGGACTAAACCAGGACTAAACCAGGACTGAACCAGGACTAAACCAGGATTAACCCAGGACTAACCCGGTCTGTGGCCCTCAGGACCCCGGGGGGAACCTGCTCAGACAGTGGTCGTCTGTGGACAGTTTGTTTGGCGTCTCGTCGCTCGAGTTTCAACTTTCTCCAAATCCTCCTCTGGGAGAATGGAGCATCTCAGCCTCCGTACAGGTCAGAAACACTAATACTTATACTACTACTACTACTACTACTACTACTACTACTACTACTACTACTACTACTACTACTACTACTACTGCTACTACTACTACTACTACTACTACTACTACTACTACTACTAGCTACTACTACTACTACTACTACAGCTACTGCTACTACTACTACTACTACTGCTACTACTACTACTACTACTACTACTGCTATTACTATTACTATTACTATTACTACTACTA